AAGTCTTCAGGGGACCAGTCACCTCCAGTCAAAGATGGTGCAGGAGCCAGAAGATGAGACTTGTAAGTGGTGGCTTAGAAAGCTGTGTGATGAACACCAGCAGCCTAAGGAAGGCGATTAGGAAGACGTTTGGTTTCATGTCATCAAGGTGGTAACTTTGTCACAAAACGCGAAGGCAAAATCCTTTAAGCACTCTTTTATTGCTTGCAATTGATTTTTCTCACCAGGAAGATGCTCCTTCACTAATTAGTGATGAACCCGTTTGCTTTACGAGGGGAGTGCTGGACTTTCCAACTCCTTCCTGTAGATTTTCAGCAGTTCAATAAATCAATCTTTTCTAATCCTTGAAACTTTAAAAAAAAAAAAGGAAAAGAAAACAAACATCCCTACTGCCTCATATTGACAGGCAGTGGAGAGACACAATAGCACAGTTTATTTTGTGTCTCTCTAGTGCTTGCCTGCAGGAAACATCTGTCTCTCCGCTTTATTTGCACCATATTAAAATGAATTCCATAGGTCTTTCCGAATGCTTTCGAGGGGGCACATCATCCATCTATTTTTATTTGGGTTTCATCACCCATAATAGCTACTAAATGTCCAGTGTACTTACTTTGGCATTTTTGCTTGCTAGCCAAACTGTCTGATTTTGGGGCCCAAGTACTGAGTCCATGTGCTTACTGAGCCTCTTCCTGCTATCAGAAAGATGGGAAAATACTTTGAATTGCCAAAAAAGTTATAAATCTGAGTTAGGTAAAATGAAACCACAAAGGATTGAATAAAATTATTGAAGTTGATTAGTTATGTAGTGTTTTATTAAAGGCCTAGTTTTACTGTAAATGTGGCTCTTAAATATTAAAAAAAAAACCCACCTCATTTCAAAATGTAAGCAAACCAGGCATTCTTTTTAAATGAGAGCTGCTTTTTGAATAGCTGCTTTTTGATAATGGGCTTTCTCTGTTCAGCAGCATTTTAGGACCAATATGTACAGTGTGAAGGTATATTCTTGCCTTACTTTTTCTGTTGACAAAAAAAAAAGAAAAAAAAAAGAAGGCTTTAGGCTTTAGCAATCTAGGATATTGCTAATCTATGTACATGGAAGTGGTTTGCACCATATAATAAAAGTTGCAGATAGTCTGTGCCTCTGTAGTGGGCTGTCAGTGTATATTCTGGCAATTCAGTCACCTTGTGTCAGGAAGGTACATGTTGGGGTTTTAAAAGGGTAGACAGTGCAAAAGGGGTTTCTGAGCTTAGGATGCATTGGTTTTGAAATTCCTTAAGTATCTAAACAAGGATGTAAGTAGCTAATTTTAGCAACTTTTTAAAAAAGTAGTGGTCCAGAAATATCACAGGAATATAGAAGGTAATATGAGCAATCCTTTCTCATCATTGAAGGAGAAAGTACTCTGGGAAATTGAAAGACATCTAACTTAAATAAGATTTTGAAAGAGTTTTACATGATGTGTAATTAACCTTAAGAAGTCTTTGCCCCAAGGTAAAGTCAGGGCTTTTTTAAGATTAGAAAATGAATTAGGTATTTATACGGATTGGTAGACTATCCACTATCCATCATCTGGACTGCAAAGAAACTTGAGGGAGGTGAGGTAAGATTTCACAGGTTAAAGGAATAACGCAATGACTAAAGATCAGCTTTTTAATTTCAGATATTTGAAAGTGAAGCCCCCACCTAAGCCATCATTCAAGTTTCCTCTGCAGTCAGTAGAAAAAGGTATTTCTGCAGGGAATGGCCAAGCCTCACCTACCTTAAATACCTGAGCTTGTAGGGGATAAATTGCTCTGTGGGGGTACCAGTCTCCCATTAACTACAACTGGATTGGAGTCACATAGTTAAACTTCAGTGGGCTGTATCCCTTACAGCCAGGAATTGGAAGAATTTATCCAAATCTGGAGAAAGAGAAAGCACTTCAGATCTAGCATCTCATGCAGTGTTAGGCTAGGTTTTCCAACCATCTCTTCTTTGACTATTGTTTGCTTGTGCCGCTAGTGAGTATAGTTTTCTCAGTTTTCCAGTTAGCAGCTCCATTTTCCTGTGAGCTAAGGCTCTTCCAAGGCTTTTCTCTTGTCTAAGTGATGGTTTTTATGTATTGCAGATAATGACACAGTATTACTGCAGCACTGATAGATTTCACAGACTTTAGCAGGGGAAAAAAAAACATTCTGGAGTAATTTTTGTCAGACACGAATTGTTGCTAACACAAGAGTTAAGCTTCTTACAACACTTGAGTTGGTAAAATGAAAAGGAATGATCTGTATTTCATGAGGGTTGTAGGAGACTAAGTCCTACAGGCCCTGTGTGTAGAGATTTGAAGTGTTTGGGAATCAGGCATCTTTGAAAAATCTCACTTCTTTACTTTAGGCACCTGCTTGCTTTGGGCAGTGGGTCCTAGGCATATCTGGGTTGGAAATGGGTACAAACTGCTCAGGTCTATTTGACAGTTTTCTCCTGAGCTGCTTTGAAACATTAGCCTCAAGCTAAAAGGCAATCTGAGTTTACCGATTTCACGTTTTGTCTGTACAAAGATGAAACGGAGCTTTCAGCTGCCTCGAAGAAAGGCTATTAGAGATTGCTGAAAAACTTCATGAGGGTCTGGATAGCAGCAACAGAGTAAAAAATTTCCCTAATTCTTCCTTTTTATAAGCTATCACCAGCAACATTTCAACACTAAAATCTTTACCATAAAACCTGAGTGCTTGTGAACACAGTAATAGAAATTCATGCCCTGCTCCTGCCCACATTGCTGGGCTCCAGACTGTCTCACATCTTCATTTAATTTAATTGCATCGCAGGGGAGCTGCAGGTCCAGCAGCGCTAGAGCTAGACATACCACAAGCACAACGAGAACTTGCCCCAGTGATCTGGCAGGCTGAGAGATGAGAGGGCAAAGAAGAAGCAGAGGGATTTGACCAACATCATACTACACAGCTGGGATGGGCTGAAGATCCCTGTTGGTGCAGCTAAGTGGGGAGCCTTTTAATGCCAATGGCTTTTCTGTGTTCCTGGTACCTCCCCAGATGCATCACATATGCAGAGGTCACACTGTCTCAGCCAATGTTTTGCTAAGCCAAAGGAGCTGAGCTTTCCTTGCTGTGGCTTGGAAGCAGGGACTCGGTTCTTCTCCTCTGCACTTTCTTCCTCCTTCCTTCCCGATTCTGAAATGCTTTGTGCTTTCCCTGTGCGTTGTTAGATATTGCCTTTGAGTGCCCCAGGGTAGCTCAGATGTCCTCATGTGGCTGTAGATGTGGCACAAGATCTAAGGCGAGCAGCTGTCAGGCTGGCAGCTGATGACCAAGGGGGATCCCTGCAGAGCTGGCAGCCAGTGAAGCTGAAGGGGGTGGTTGGACACTGGAGCGGAGCTGCAGGGAGCTGTCAGTGGCTGGGGTGGATGGAGATGAAGGCAGGGAGGGGATGCTGGAGGTGCTCAAGCTGAGACAGCACTGCTTACCTGTCTGTGATGAGGGGACAACTACCTTGTCCCCTATGGCGTGTCCTCTACTTGTATCTCGCTGCTACAAGTGGGGTTAGGCAAGTGTTGTTTATGATTGTGGCCAGATCCAGCCTATTCAATGACTGTTCTTTCCCTTTCCCAAAGACCCCAGGTGACCATGCTAGGGCACAGCTGGGTCTGGCAGCATCACTGCCTCTTCTGTCTCAGCCAAGGACAAGGTGGGGAAAAAATGGGAACGCTTTGCAGCAATATACTGTGTGAAACCACCTTCCTCCTATAAGGACTAAATCTTCCTCCCCTTGATACTCAGATGGCCCCTCTGTGGCTTCAGGTGCATGTGAATGGTGCAGAAGTTGTCCTTACATGGCTTTAACCCTTGTGAGGAAAAAACACAGAGCCTCACCTTGGACATACTTTATATCCTTCTCAGTCAGAAGTTACTGCTGAAAATCATTCAACTGTAATACAGCTTCTAACTCAGGCTGAAGCAGGTCCCCTCCAAGCAAAGCGGTTTGTTTAGCGGAGGGTATAGCTTGACAGGTTGCCAGTACTGATGGAGGGAGATCTCAGCAGGATGGACTGGCCTTACCTACGTTGGCAGGGGTAATGAGATGAACATATTGCACCAGCCTCCATCTTTGGCACCCATGGTGGCTGCTGCAAGAGATCACAGGTTCAAAAGCTCCACACCAGGGGGAAGAGGAGGCCTGGAAGTTGGCCTGCCCTCCCCACACGTGTTGCACATCACCTGCCACACAGGCAGATTTGGGCATAGAACCTGTGCCAGAAGGTCAGGGAGACTCCCCTAGGAAAATGACTGTGACTAATCTTGCATCCTCACAGTGGTAGAAACTCATTTTGAGTGGTCCATCTTGGCTTCTTCTTTACTGCAGCAGGCTGCTTTGCACTCTTGCTTGGCAGAGTCCTTTCTTTGTTCTTCCCTGTGAAATGGGAGTAAATAGGTCAATGCTTTGTGTCACCCAGGGCTTTTGAAGATCCTAATGCTGTTATCTCAAAAAGAAGATAATGCTGCAGTCTGGCTCATAAGCTGGCAACCTGAGAGTTACATTTATGAACAAGTAAATGGCAATAAAGAGGTTCCTGTAATACGCTACAGCACCCACCGCAGATAGGGAGGGCTGGAGGCACAGTGAAGTTTTGCCACCTGAATGCATTAAAGCCTTCTGCAGTGGCTACGCTGGAGTTTCAAAACTCATCTTCTCCAGAGATACCCATGATTTTTAAAAGAGATTTCAAAGTCAATTGACAGTTGCATGATCGGAGCCAGGAGGGGTATCTGCAGCTCACAGCTAACAATGCTCGCTTCTGTGCGTGAAGCCGGTGTCCTCGGTGGTGTTTGAATTCCCTGGGGCAGTGTATACCCTGGTGTATACCAGGCACACCTGATGCTGGTCAACCTTTAGTTTTGGTGATGGCTGGTGGGAGAAGGGAGGGGGACTAGCAGTAAGCTACATTCTATATGTCGTTATATTTCTAATGTTGGTGTTCTTGTCTTTATGTCCACGCATTCTTTAGCTATGAGGATAACAGACCCTTCATCAAGTAAGAATGACCTGAATGGCTGATAAATTCCATTTATCAGTGTGGTCTCATGAACCAGCTGTCAGATCAATATTGAAAAATCATTAAAGCTTCTGTCATTCGCATTTGAGGCAGAAGAGCAAACTGTGCAGGAAAATGGTCAGGCATACAGCTAACATGCAGAGTAAATATGCTGCATATGTATTGCCAACAATTGTCACTGTATTGGCTTTATATTCTTTGATTGGACATTACTTGCATTCGAGGTGAACATTTCCAAGTTAATCCTGTGTGGTACAGACTTGTTATAACAATAGCAACCCTCTGGTCCACTGTGCTTGGTCTCTGAAAGTACTTTATGGTGGTATAAATACAGAAGTAAATTTTCAGAAAAGTGCATGGGTGGTAATCACCATGATTCCTGTTACGAGAACGGGAGCAGTGTAAGCAGATCTGTGTTCAGTGCATTGGAGACTGTCTCCTTACTCATTGGAGTACCTAATTGTCCCTAATTGTAAATCTCTGATTTTCAATTACACCAAAGCATGGATGGTTTTTTTTTTCTTTATTACCATAAAATTGCACTACGGCAAAGAAAAACCTTGAAAAAGCAACAGCAAGTCTGTACAAAGAGCAAAAGAAAAACCACAAGCCACACCAAAAAAACCTGCAAAGAAAGCAAAAAGTGCCTAGAAATTACATGCCTTAGGGCATCCGTGCTTTTTCTCCTGCAACCAAAAAGTAATGTGCAGTAGCACCAAATAGAAGCAAATCAACTTTGCAGTAGACTTTCAGTTTGTTCTTCTGGTGAAGAGTCCTTTGTGTTCATTCTTGCAGCATCATTCCCTTGTTCTCTTTCATCGCTTGGTTCCTTTTTTTTTTTTTTTTCTATGGACATGGGATGGAGCCACAAAGTAATCTCCACACCCTCTTTATCTCCAGGCCTTGTTTTTTGAAGGACAACACTGTAACATGTGCAGTTTGCACTGTTGAGGGTCATCTAACCCACAGGTTCCTTTCCATCACTGAAGGTAGCATATTTCCACTAAATAACTGTTTCAGTCCTGCGTACCTCTGCAGCCAAAGGCTCTTTAATGGAGTTCAGGAATTGGCTGTGCTTCAGAGCAGAATAGTTTTCCGATGTCCTGGGAATCATTTTTAAAAGACTATGTAAATGCAGGAAGCTTTTAATCGTGGAGGAGAAGAGAAGGGGGAGGGAAAAAAAGTGTTTTCTAGTTCATTTGTTGTTCTTTTTCTAAGGAAAAAAAAAATATTATTTGTGTTTTTTAAATTGGCATGCAATTAAGATGATAATGTGCTCTCAGCTGATGGTGGAATCTTGTGGAGCAAAATATGCCAAGCGGCTAAAGCAGTAAACTTTATCTAGTGGCTACCTTTCTGAAGGATTTTCAGAGTGCGTTTTCAATTTGCATCGTGCTAAATATTTATTAGCGGGATTGACTGGTAATGCTTCAAAGGAGCTGTTCTGGTCTGCTAGATACATAATAGTGATTTTTAAAGAACTGCCTTAATAAGCGGTTACCTTAGGGAGCTCTTCTGGTCGTGTGGTTAAATAATACATATTTTATAAACTTCAGTGGAAAACCTAATGCTGTATTTTCATTCTAATACCTAAAGGAAAAAAAACCCAACAAAACAAAACAAAAAAAACCAACAGAAAACATGAATACAACATCTGTGTGCTTCTGTTTGTGACAAGCCCTGCTAAAAGGAAAAGGACTCAAGGCTGCAGCTGCTGTGGAGTCTCTGTAGTGGAGATTGCCTGCCTAACCCCTGCAGGACTTATTTTTCCCCTAAGCTGCCGCTGCTTCATCTTTCTCCCCCTTGCCCCATGTTCTGTTTAACAGATGGAAGCCCAAATATGCCCAAACCCTGGTCAGGTTTCTATAAGGCTGAAGTGGCTTAGAAACATAAGTGAGTCCTTGTCCTCTTGAGCCCTTCTGCAGCACCCCAGGCTGCTTTGGGGTGGACAAGGAAGCTAGCTGGCTGCAGCCTTATCTGCTTTGGGGATCTGAAGGGTGAGGAAGACGTGCAAAGACTGGGTATCACTACATTAATTTTTATGATGTTACCCCTAATGATACCAGGGAAAGACAGAAAAAATCAAGGCCTCAAGGGAAAGGGCAAAGAGATGCTCCCAGTGCTGCTTGTTGTGTGCTTCCCACTGTGCTTCCCATCTAGAAGATGACTCCCTCCTCTGTGCAGCAGCAGTACCTTTAAAGTTGTAGGTAATTTAGCACATGGAAACTAGGGAGAAGGCTAGGAGTAGGACCCAGTTCCTATCCTGCTTGTCATACTTCATGTCATGTCCTGGTATTGGAAGATCAGTTTCTGAAAAGTTAATTTAGCAGATGACTAAAAGTTATTTAGCAGGGTAACATGGAATACTTATCCTGCCATCCCAGCAGAGCTTCCAGCTTTCCTGAAAGTGCCCTGAAAAAAATAACATGCAGCAGCCATCCCATGTCCCCAGCTCTGTCTGTACAAGCAGAAAGTCGCTGGATAAAGCAAGCAGAAACTGCAGGCTGCCCATATTTGCTTGATCAACATTTGGGGCCAAGCAGTGGCTGCACCCCTACTCCCACTTCCCTCCTGGGGTGGAGCAAGCAATAATCTTAGTTTTGCAGCTGATGTGAAGAAGGATTGCCCCTCCTCTGAGCAGAAGTGTGACAGCAGCTACTGTTCTAGCAAATGCAGCGTGTGAGCGCCTATACGTGTATATGTATTTCCCCTCATCGCAGGGTGGAAGAAGTGTGAAGCGGCATTGCAGAGAGCCTCCTTGTGCGGAACTGATCTGGCAAGTGGTGTGGGCTTGCCCACCTGCTTGTAGTTATTTATCTGGCTTACAGACATATGGGAGACTAGCTAAAATGCAGCAATACATGTGTTTTGGTGTTAAGTGTAAAGAAGCTAATCCAACTGGTACTCCTGCCCCAGTGAAACCAGTGGACACTTATAAAGTGACATTTAGAGTTGTTGTTTTGGTTGATTTATTTTCTTTTCCTGCCATTTGCAGAAATAGCATTTACATGTCATTTACATACACACTGCTTTTCCATTAAAAAAAAAAAAAAAGAAACATTGTGGTTACAAATATGCTTTGGTTATGATAAATTTCTATGCTCATAACATTTCCATTTCTGTATATTTTCTCAAGCTTGAAGATTTGTAAACTGCATCCAGCTTGCAGAAAAAACTCCCTACAACTCATTTTGATACGCTATTTTCTTTTTGCTAAAACCACAAGCAAAGTTACCCTGCTTGTAGATGCATACCTTTTTTTGTAGATGAAAAACCAATCCCTTTCTTTTCTTTTTTTGTTTCTCCTAACAGGTCCTGGGTTATAGGTGCAATAGCACTACTCTGCCTATTAGGACTGACCTGGGCATTTGGACTCATGTATATTAATGAAAGCACAGTCATCATGGCGTATCTCTTCACCATATTCAATTCTCTGCAGGGAATGTTTATATTCATTTTCCATTGTGTCCTCCAGAAAAAGGTAAGACAGATGGTTCCCAGCAGCAAAAGTGGTGGTAACAGGGTGCTTTGTTGCCTAACAACCGCAGCATAACATCATCTGCGTGCCCTGAATTCGTCTCACGTAGATTTATCTCTGTACACCTAATAAGGGTGGTATTTAGACTGGAAACCAGCAAGATGCAGGGGAATGAGGTGATAAGGAAGATATGCGACAGTGGCATTTCAGCAGCCGATGCACTGGTGGCGAGCGCGTACAAGGCAAGGGAAAAGGCAGCTGATAGTTTGCAGGGCTTTACATAGCAAACCTATAAAAGGGCTTGGCCTGCTATCAGCCAGATTCTCCTTTCCCATATGCCAGTATGAGACTCCACGAGCATCTGGAGGGCCCTCGCATGGTGGAGTGCTCACAGCAAAATGGAGCTTTACATCCCTGCAGGAAATCACCCCTTTCTATATAGCAGCATATATGGGTTGATGGTATGCTTCCCCTGCTTTCTAAGAACTGAAGGACCTGTGCTCTGCAATAACTCTTTAACTTTTTTATTGCTTGGTCCTAATGTGGGCTTTTGAAAATCTTCCTCAAAGCAAGCACAGTAAGTGCTTCTTGGTGGAACTTGAAGTATGCCTCAATTAACATTTGCAAGATAACAGTGGAGTAACTTAGGTGAACTCGTGGGTGGGGGGGAAGGATATCAGAATATGTCAAAATAAAAATCTCTGTGTGTATATGTAGATCAAACTTACAGCCTCTGACAATGAGTAATAAATATTTTTAAGAGACATTTTATTGCCCACTGAAGTCCAGTAGTACAGAGCTCTCCAATTCTGTGCAGGTCTGCTGATAATTTTTTATGTACAACTTGTTTTCAAAGGTAAGTTTATATATCCAGTATAAACATAGGGAAGAGTTTTTATATGGTTACATCTGGGTTCTGGTTTCTCAGTATAATCAGTATCTTTTGGTGAAATGGCTTACAGGGTAAAGTCAGGGCTGTGTTGAGGTCTGTTCTCCATCCAAGAGCCCCAGGTTTGCTCCTGTGTTACCCTCATTTTCCTGTACAGGGAAGGCAGATCTGACCCATGAGAACAGAAGCAAAATTTATCGTAACAAGTGACCTCTGTGAGCAATGCCTCTGGAAGGATCTGCAGAGCCGTGCAAAAATGGCATTCTTGAAACCAAAGGAAGACTTTTGGGGCTCAGAGTTTTGTCCTTGTCATTTCTTCTCAAATTTTTGCATCTTAAAAAGCTTAAAAGCTTTATCTAGATGCAACTGCCTGCTGTTGATCCCAAAACTTTCAGCAAGAAAGTTTCCAGGCAAGATGATAAGAAGAATGTCAGAAGCATCACCATTGCTAATTAAACCTGCAAGTGCCTCTTTGACAAGGAGTTTGAATTTCTACATCATTCTCATTGGTCCATCCTCTCGCCTCCAGTGCACCTCACAAAGGGTCCGTCCCTAACCGAGCATCCCAGCACGGCACTGCAGCCTCCTTGGCTACCGAGGTGCTCACTCAGCATGGAAGAATGATTCTCTCTTCTGTCTCAAGCCAGTCTACACCCTTAAACCATCACTGATGACTGTGGGATCACTCCTGATTTATGGCTGCATAGAGGGAAGGAGAATGCAGCTGGTACCTTGCTGTGAGGTGGTTGCATCTCTCTGACCCAAGAGCTGAGGGAAGAATTATTTGAGGGAAAAAAAAGAAAAAAAACCCTTTCCTTTCCTATCTATCATGGACTAGAAAATCATCAAAAAGCTGCAGAGAGGCAAGCAGTGGGTGGCTAATTAAAGCAATTGAATTATTTTCTCTCAGCAAAGGATTGATTAGGCACTCGAGCATATTGGGCACTCATGGTACTGTGTTTGTCTCAAGCGCTTAAGGAAGAGCCTAATGAAAAAGCTGTAATTTGCTATTTAAACAGTAGTTTCACAGAGTTTTGAAATGCTTATAGATAGTCTGGCAAAATTTAATGGCTAACCGTGTGCTCCAAGGAAATTCAATTGCTGTTTTGGTCATGCGTGGGGTTTTCTGGACTGTTTTTTTTGTCAATGGCCAGCGTGATCTGCTTTTGGCTTTTCAGTAGTCTTCTCGTTTCAGTCTTGTCCCATCTGGTTTCAGGTTGTTGCTACCCATAAAAAAAATCACACCTGAAGCTCAGTCGTAGCTTAGATCCTGCCCTGACACAAGTCAGTGTAGTTCCCCTGAAGCAAAGGAGGTGGCATGGGTTTACTTCAGGCAAGGTGCTGGCCCAGTTTCACTATGATGCCCATGACTGGCTTGCTCAGTGCTATGGGAAAGAAGGCTCCAGCCACCCCTGTGCATTAGGAATATAATCTCTAGGGCTGCTGGCTCTACACTTTCCTCGAGTTTCAATTGGACTGCAAGAAAAAAATTGGAAAAAAAAATTAAAATCAATAGCTCTTATATGTTCCTTTTGGATTTTTTTCTTCGTAGTCTCCTGCCAGAAGCAATAACTTTTAGTGCCTTGATGAGCCAATATGCCAGTTTATATCAAATCTATGAAGATATTAATTTTCAGTCATAAATAGCATATCTGTAGTTTTTCCCATGCTCCTTTGATGTGCCTCAGAGGAATCTACAACCGACTGGTGTCAACAAGCAGCTTTGCTGCATAAAAGCAGTCCTTTACGCCATCATGAACGGTGAGCTCACATATCAAGAACATTGAGCTGCAAGGTGTGATAGGCTTCTTCCCTGCGCACTGCAACAGCTATCATTTTAATGAGCCACCGAGGAAAAATCAGGGGCTGTGGTGAACGTCGAAGGCAATGGATTGGAGGAGGAGCTGCCCACTAACTGCCATTGCTCTTTCCTTGGCTAGGTACGTAAAGAGTATGGAAAATGCCTGCGCACACATTGCTGTAGTGGGAAAAGTACAGAGAGCTCTATTGGCTCAGGAAAAACCTCGGGGTCACGGACACCTGGAAGATATTCCACAGGCTCACAGGTAACCCACACTTTTCCACACCCCAGTGCTTTGCATCACTGCGCCTGTAGCCTTTGTGGCTGTGCTGCGAGCGAAGGTCCTCTTGGCACCAAAGGACCTGCCTTAGGGGTCTCCCCAGTGCACCTGCAGACATTTCCCTCCCTCCTGGACCTGAATTCAGTACAGTGGCTTCCCTTGGGATGTGATGGCAATTAGTGCCTCTCCAAGAACCTTATAAATAGTTGTGATGAAAATAAGTCCAAGTTTACCTTCCAGAAGCAGGTGGGTCGCCATCACCTGAGCTGTCCTGCCCATTCTCCATGGAAATCAGGAACTGGGAGCATTTTGTCAGCTATGCTACATCCCAGTATATCCTTTATCATGAGCTGAAGGTTGTTGTCACCACTATTGCCATGTACAGGAATGACGCTATAACAACCAAGTATTTTTCTTGCTAAAAAAAGACTACAAGGGTCTTGCAACAGCCTTCGCAGTGAATGGGCTTACTTTCTGGCATTTGGTGGTTTAATCAATTCCTTGCCTCATTCAATTTGCCTTTGTTTATAGACCTCTTAGGAGAATCCATTGGGGTCAGATTATCTTAATAAGTTACTGGATTTGTTACACTTTGGTCACTTGAAAATTCAGGTTTTGTGTAGTTTATGCACTTAGCAGTTTTGAATCTAACTTGTACGTACAGATGCAGATTTATGGACGAACAGTTCATATAAAATGAAGAAGCTTACTTCTTAATCAATAGAAACCAAACACAAATTTATTCAGTATTACTAATGGAAGTAATTATACATGACAGTACCACTATTAAATTATGAAAGACTTGCAGCAAGTAACAGTTTATAACCTACCAGGAAAACCTAATTTGCGATTTATGTCTTGGAGCAAATTATTATTTATTTTCAACAGTTTCCAAGATATCATCCAAGAGCTCCGCTTTGGCATTTATGTAGGTCTCGATGTTATGCAGGGCAAATATCAGCAATAGAATATGGAGCCTCTGTCCAGTAGGCCATCAAATCCCACAGTAATCAATAATGTCCAAAACTCACTATATCCAGCAACATTTAGATGGGTGATTTAAAAGCCTTTGGTTTTACATAATGTAGCTACTGGGTAGATGCCCTCCACTCCAAGAAGAGTTGATTTCAGTGGGCCCTCCGTCTTGGCAGACTCAGCACAAGAAAACAAGCCTTTCTGAGGGGAAACTGAGTCTCCTGGGAGCAGGCCCCTTGTGGCAAATGAGATTTGAGGTACCAGGGAAGATTATTTTGCCTGCAGAAGCTTGTCCTTGGAAGGATGAAAGTCCCTGAGACCTGTCATAGGCAGGAGAAACCTCACATGGGTGATGGAGACTGGGTAGAGATAAGTCTGAATTGTTGAAAGCATCTGACTCCTAACTTTTTAATAGAGAAGTCCATGAGGAGGAAGACTCCCAAGATCTTTTTTTTTTTTTTTCTTTTTTCTCTGAAAAGCAATTAGGAAACAGAATAATTAATCCACAATGGATCCTGTCAGAGAAATGCAATAGACTAAATGTCCAGGTGAAAAATAATTGCTATTAAAGTGCATGAACCTCGTGTCACATTGTGCTTCCATTTATAGACGGCATGATTAGGAGATGCTGTTACTACATAGTTAATGCGTAGACTAGAAGGCACTTTTCTGCTGTGACCACATGAGTAAGCCCTGGAAGATCTCACATGGCTAAGATCCCACTACAGGAAGCAATTAGGAAAAATGTGGTCTGTCACAGTGGGAACCAGCCTTCCCAATCCTCCAGCCCACCCAGCACCACTTTCACACAGCCATGGGACATGTCCATCATACTCTGAGAGATGAGGTGAGGGAGAGTTCCCCAGTCATCTTCACACAAGGACTGTAGTTGAACCACTCATGGGATGTATGTTGCCTGATTTTTTTTATCTTTTGCAAAGTTTAGTTGAGGAGGAACGAAACAGTGGCATAAAAGCTGCAGAGGTATATATTCCACAGCATATTTGAGAAACAAAACAGAAGACCAACATATTCGGGACACTGTTTCCCCAGCAGCAGAAGCTATACCACAGATGGCAAAACCATAACAGATTTTTCAGTAGGGCAACAGAAGTAATTAATTTGTGGAGGATTTTTTTCCCCCTGATATTCCCCAAGATAGATAGTAGCTATAGAAAACTACTATTCAGGAACACCAAGACACAGATAAAATCTTGTGTTACACTTCACAAAAAATAAGACACAAGCTATCTGAGATTGTATGGGAAGCATGCATGCTGTTGTAAGTTATTTTTCCATTATTCGGTTCTATATTGGTAAATCTGTAGCTTGCACAGGTCTGGATTTCTCTCATATATGATTTCTATTGCTTTTTTTAATCAAGACATAAGCAATCCAATTATGCACTTCTTTGAGACAAGTGTTTGTGTTATGAAGTTAGGCAGGCAGGGTCTGGCATGCACAAGGCAGGTTATAGGAAAACAGCAACCACTTGCTTACAGCTGGCTAGAAACAAGTCTCATCCTGAGCTAGACATGCCAATAGCCATCTTTAGTGAGGCAGAAAGAAACCTATCTGCAGCTGCTAAAAATTCATTACCTGCTATGGTTCAATCCCTCTTCAGAGCCGGATTCGTAGGATGTGGAATGACACAGTTCGAAAGCAGTCCGAGTCTTCCTTTATTACTGGAGATATAAACAGTTCAGCTTCACTCAACAGAGGTAATTATAAACAATTTTTCATATCTCTAACTCTTGTGATGGCTTTAAGGAGTCTGAAATATGTTGCCCCTTTTCCCCCCTACTCCCTCCTCCTCTTGAACAGCACTGGACCCTGTTCTCTTACGTAAGAAATGTTACAGTGGTAACTGGGAGGAGGTTTCGTGGTGGTTGTTGCCTTTTTTGCCTTTTCTTCCTTTATTTTTACACACGCATTTTCCAGAATTGTAATTTCTGTAAGGGAATTAGAAAAAGCAAAAAAGATAAATGAAATGAAGCTGAAAAGAAGTCTTCCCTTTCCCTCAGCAAACTGCTAGTGCCAGAAGCTGCTGAGGTGTCAGACTTCATTGCTGACGGTGAAAATGGGCCATTACGGCACTGTACAACCTGTGTTAAGCATCACAGGAGTCCTGATTGTCCTGGTATGTAGCAATACTGTCATCTTTACAGAAGCAAAAATGAACAGCAGAGCATATACGTAAGAAAAAACTGCGCTTGGAACAAAATTGTCTGCGTTGATGTTAATATACCTAGTTTGAAGAACTGACTGATGTGAACTTTATAGACATCTGTGGAGGAAAGGCATCAGAAACGTGTATGCCAAACAAAATGTGGTGCCTGGCACAGGAGGAAATCTGAACAGCTTTTTTAAAAAAAGTCTTTTTCAAGGAGTTGCAGGAAAACGATGGTAAGGGAATAGCAGAAAAGAGTCTCAGAGGCTGGTTTCTTTCTCCTCCAACTCAATTACTTTATGGCTTAGCCTTGAGCAACCAGATGCCAAATGCTGTTTTGTGTATCTGCCCAGTTGATGCTGGAATTAAGAGGGGGCAGAATTGGTATTATTGTGCCCAGCTGTTCTGTCATGATGGTGAAAATCAAAAGAATTTCCAGTCTTGATGGCTGGACTGCAAAGCTCAACTGAGAATTGAGTCGGGAATTTGGGTTTTATTCAGTCTTTATTCACCCAGAATTCCTACTGATTTTAGGGTGATTTTTGCCTGAGGATGGACTTGAAGGATTTTGACTGTGCTGTTAGTAATACTGACTACTGCGTGCTGGGGAACTAGGGGTATATGGTTGAGTTCTCTAAATATTATATATATCTCCCAAATCAGCGCAAAGGGGAAAGCAGTGTAGTTAACATGGAGATGTACTTTTCTCCCTCAACCCACTCTGGTGGTTTTTGTACCAGGATATTTTCACTTTGCACTGCAGATTCATTGATAAAGACGGTTATAAGATGCCGTTACCTGATTTATCCAAATGCGTTGCCCTCGCATCTCTCTCCCTCTCTCTTTGCATCAATGACTAGAGAGCTACAGCCAGGCTTCTCTGGGGCTAATTTAGAGGGAGATCAGTTGCTGCACAAAGGTTACAGCAAGAACTGCTCTTTGCCTCAGCCATCCATCGCTCTGTCTCAGCAGCAAATCAAAATGTGTTATGCATGAAATGTTCACTCCTATAGTTAGTGCAGAAGTTGACTTGCTCTCCGATGCAGCTGAGGCTACAAAGGGAAATGTTTTAGTAAACAGGATCTTCTGGGCTCGTTGGTAGAAGAAAGACACCTCTCCTTTTTCAGTTTAGGCTTTTTTTTTTTTCCATGCAAAGAAGAGAGTATGACCATAAATTGTGAAAGCTGTGAAGAGGTTTGAAGTGGGCGATCTTCATCCCAGTGTGGTGAGAGCCTGTTACTAGATGTGCCTGTTATTTAAAGGTCAGTTGGGAAATGAACTGCCAGGGGAGGCATCTTCAAAGCAGATTTAATCCAGCTATTTTCCTTGTATAACATTGGATGAGATGAATCACCCAAAGAGCCTGAATCTCTCCACTGACTACAGAAGCAACCTGATAACAGTCTTGGAAAGGAAGCCTTTTAAGTGGGACACTTAAGTGACTTGAAAAAGTTGTACTATTATACAGGGGCTTCCTCCTTCTTTTTCACACAAGCAGGCACAGTATTTGTTGGTTTGGTTTTGGTTTTTTTTTTTCTTTTCTGATAGACAGACATATCTGCAGAATGGAAGTTAAAACATTTCTTAGAGAGTTAGCATCTCCAGTGGTCAGTTCTGCAAGGAAGGGACACCTGACATCAACAGTAATCCCAGCTGCATGGGGTCCCAGATATTTCACACTTTATCCTGTTTATTCCAGCTGAAAGGAAATGTTCATAATCTTAGAACTTTGCATAGAGCAGAAGTTGTTTCTTCAATCTCTCCAGAGAGAGCTGCAGCCTGAACAGACCAGTGGGGCAGTGTGGTTTTCACAGTTCTTGTCTTTCTCTTAATATTTTAATATATATCAAGCTTTAAAGGAGCTGTTTCATTGATGTGTTATTTATAAATGTGCACTAGAAGCTCAGGGGAGTCAAGTGCAAGCCTTGAATTGTATGTTTAGTAGTATTCCCTTCCCAAGGTTTATACAAGAGGCTCTCCTACCTCTTCAGAAGTCCCTCTCCAACCCTCCCAGGCTAGACACCTTTTGCATGAAAGTACCTGTATTATCCCAAATTAAACACTCTTTGTGCACTGGTATTATTCCCAGACCCTTCAGACAACAGCCTCCTTTCTAAAATAGGGAGAAAATTATATTTTCTCCTCAGAATCATCCCATCCTCCAGGTCCCGGCCCAACTCCACTTCTCCATGTCCCGGGTCAGTGCTGAGTTTTCATGTTTCTGTCACTGGAGCAGAAAGCAGTGAGACATCCTCCAGCTGGAGTACTTTCTCATTTAACCCTTTTTTTCCTGGAAGTGCCCTGCCACTTGATAATGTCCCAGCAAGACTTCCCACTCCGCAACCTTGCCCAGTTTTTCCACCATGGACCTGGCTGGATATTTATGCCATCTATTTCACATCCACACTGTGCTCTACATTTCCCTTCCCAGTGCTGAAAAGTTGCAGGGGTGTAAAAGCTGAACCAAGCTGATTACCTTGTGAGTAGAAAAAGTCTTTCTTTGCCTGTAAGATGTTTGTTGTAAGTGGTCTTGATAGAGACACTTGGATGCAATGCTGAAAAACTGAACCAAATGGATGCTTGTAGGATGGATTGTTTACTAAAACTTACTACTTTGAAGGCTGAAAAGTAGAAGGTATGAAGGGAAAGCAACAGTTTTTCTTTGTGTTAGGTTCATGAGGAGAAAGCGGAGCAGATGACTGCTTGGTTGTAACAGCAGTTTTTTTGGTATTTGGGCTGAGGACAGTTTTTAAAAAGAGCTAGAGATTAAAAGCAATTAACATCATTACTGTTATTCTAGTTCTACTGTACTTGTGCTTTGATAATATAATCATGGACCTGTGCTGTACCTGCAGATAGACCCAGCAAGGGAAATTAGGATGTCTCTCAGCACGGTGCTGATGGTGTCTGATGGCCTGAGCTTTGGGTACATCCAAGTGGCTACCTCAGGAGCATGAGTCTGTTTGTACCTTTGGAGCGTTACTGTCAAAAAGCACTTGGATAGCTCAGAGAGCCTTGAAAACAAGCAGTTATAGCATGAAACAGCAATGTGACTCCAGACTATTTTTATCCATGTCTTAGGTGAGAGGTAATACAGTAATTACTGTCTCTCTTTGAATATGAGACAAGTGAGAGAGAGAAAAAAAATCATCATTAACTATATGGTGCTTTGTTACCCTTCAGGGTTTTAAGGCGGGGAGGGGGGGTGAGATACTTTTTTTTGCCAGAGGAAAACTGGAAGTTACCTGTTAAAGAAAGGAGTGTTTCTTGTTTTGCTGAGGCTTGAGAGCAGCAGAGACAATGAAGAGTTTGTCACTGGTATGAGGCAGTGCTTTGTTGTAGGGAAACGCACTGATGGAGCTGTGTGTATCCCTTGAAGTTAACAGATAAGGGGAACTATATCTTCATTCATGGGAAACATCGTATCTTGCTGTTTTCCCCCTTTGGGGAGATAAATGGGCTAGGGGTAAAGCCACCAGATTTCTTTGAAAATAGAAGCTACTCCAGAAGTCTGTTGTGTTGGGTCAAGTGCTGTACTCCCACTGTAATGCTCTGAGTCTTGGCTTACCAAGTAGACAGCAAGTTTGGTAGATCATTCCAATAACAGTCTTGCTGTACAAACAGGAGTATGTGCACCTCTTCTCTTTTAGCTATATGCATATATGCATTATGTTCCCTTACCTCCAAAGCACTGCACACCATCCCCACCACTCTCATCATTGGAGGGAGGTCTCTGGGAGGGATTTCTTGATGGTCTACATTGCTACTCTGCTTGTCTGAAGGACGATGTGGTGGAATGACCCTGGCTTTTCCACTCTGTGGAAGAAGAGGAGCAAAGTATAACACAATTGCATGGACAGGGCCATAGAGCTGTTCTTACCAGTCTGGTGGTGCCCTCGTGAGGTTGGTTGACCCTGGCTGGACTTCAGGTGCCACCAAAGCTTCTATATCACTGTGCTCCTCAGCTGGACGGGGGAGAGAAAATATAACAAAAGGCTTGTGGGTCGAGATAAGGACAGCAAGAGATCACTCACCAGTTCCATCATGGGCAAAACAGACTTGCCTTGAGGAAACTAATTTAATTTATTAACAATCAAATCAGAGTAGGATAATGAGAAATAAAACCAAATCTTGAAAAAACACCTCCCACCGACCCCTCCCTTCCTCCCAGGCTTAACTTCACTCTTGAATCCTCTACCTCTTCCCCCCACAGCAGCACAGGGGAATAGAGAATGGGGATTGCGATCAGTTCATCACACATTGTCTCTGCTGCTCCTTCCTCCTCAGAGGGAGGACTCCTCACACTGTTCCCCTACTCCAGTGTGGGGTCCCTCCCACGGGAGACAGTCCTCCATGAACTTCTCCAATGTGAGTCCTTTCCATGACCAACAGTTCTTCACAAACTGCTCCAGCATGGGTCCCTTCCATGGAGTGCAGTCCTTCAGGAACAGACTGCTCCAGTACAGTTCTGCCAGCAAACCTGCTCCAGCGCGGACTTCCCACAGAGTCACAGCCTTCTTTGGGCATCCACCTGCTCTGGCGTGGGCTCCT